GGCCTCTGGGAGCAAGCATCGGAGCTCTCCTGTTTGCTGAGAAGCACCCGCTTCAGACTTGCATCCTTGGACCATGCCAGGTGACTGGGGGCAGTTCCCAAGCCTGGACTTCCCTGAGAACTGGCTTCCATCCCATCTGCTGGACTCTCAGAAGGTGAATTGGCACTGGCAGGGCCTCCTCAGCTGGTGCTGGTCTGTAGTTGTGGGAACAGACTCTGATTCCCAGCCAGGACAGAATATGTGGGATGGGACTTGTCCCCTCAAAAATAAAGAGGCAGTTAGAAACCAGAGGAAGCTATGAGATCCACTGGAAGTCAGTCAAGGAAGGGCAGCGAGCATCCAGGCTGCAGTGCTGGGAAGGGAACCCCAGGAGGAGATGAAGCTGGGAGCCTGGGGAAAGGTAAAGAGTGAGCCCCATAGCACGGCGGCGCACACCTTTAGTCCCAGCACGAGGGAGGCAGAGGCAGGCAGATCTCTGAGTTTGATGCCAGCCTGGTCCACAAAGAGTTCCAGGACAGCCAGGGCTACACAGAGAAACCCCAACTAAATAGAAAAGGTGGGCCTCAAGAATCATTCAGCTGAGCCAGGGTCAGTGTGTACAGGCCAAGACAGAGCCACGGGTATGCAGGGTGGAGACACCCAGCTAGAGACCTCGAAATACACTGGGTACTGGCAGAGTTCCCCTAGTAGTTCAGAATAATTAACCTGAACTTAAACCACACCCAAGAAGCCCTGAAAGCAAAACCGAGATGGAAGGCACCATCTCTAAGCAAGTCACCTTCAAGAAAATTTCAGTGGACACAACATAAAGGCCTCACCACGGCACAGTTCATAGTGTCTGGAGTCTGATGAAAGATTGGGAGGGGCCGGGCATTGGTGGCGCACGCCTTTAATCCCAGCACTTGGGAGGCAGAGGCAGGCGGATCTCTGTGAGTTCGAGGCCAGCCTGGTCTACAGAGCGAGTTCCAGGACAACCTCCAAAGCCACAGAGAAACCCTGTCTCGAAAAACCAAAAAAAAAAAAGATTGGGAGGGGCTGAGGTGCAGCTCAGCAGAGGGTTAGCACTCCGGAGGCCCTATGCTCTACCACCACACACTACTGAATAGCTCAGAAAGCAAGCAAAGGACGCAGGAAAATACAGCCTATCATGAGGAAAACGTTCAGCTGGGCAGTGGTGGTGAACACGGTTAACCCCAGCACTCGGGAGGCAGAGGCAGGTGGATCTCTGTGTTCAAGTCCAGCCTGGTCTACAACACGAGTCCCAGGACATCCAGGGCTACACAGAGGAACCTTGTCTTGAAAAAGACACACATGCGCGCGCGCGCGCGCACACACACACACACACACACACACAAACTGAGATTCAAATTCACTGGAGAGAGGAGAGACAGGAACATGGGGCAGCTGCATCTGGACAGGCAGAGACCTAAGAGGTCCTAAGAAGTCTCAGGTCAAACTCGCAACGGGGACCCAGCGGAGGCTGAGTTCAGTCAAGAACAGGAACCCAGTGTGTGTGAGGCCATGGATACCACACCATCTGTGAAATAATCCAGCAGTTGGCTGGCAGGGATGAAACTGATCCATCTAGAGTTGAAAACCTTCCTGAGGAACGGAGGGACCTTGAGAAAGAGAAGCCTGTGCCAACCAGGAGACGGCCTTCAGGAGCCGGCCTTCAGATCATCCCAGGAGTCAAGAAAGATGAGAGACAAGCAGGACACGCAGAGAGCCACACCCCCAAAAGGGGACAGAGCAAGTGGGAACAGGAAGCGATGGCCAAGTTTCCATGCATGTGCGATGTGAGCGTGAGGGCGTGGGCTCGTGCCACAGTATGAGCGTGGAGGTCAAGGGACAAGTTCTAAAAGTCCGTTCTCTTTTCTCCATCATGGGATCCAGGGGTTGTCAGGCTTGCATAGCAAATGTGAGAGCCTTGTTTGATTTTTAGACAGGGCCTCAGATTGCCCAGGCTGGCTTTGAACTCCTGATTCTCTTGCCTTCGCCTTCCAGATGCCGAGGTTCAAACTTTTTTTTTTTTTTTGGTTTTATGAGACAGGGTTTCTCTGTATTGTTTTGGAGGCTGTCGGTCCAGCCCAGCCTCTTAACTCACAGAGATCCACCTGCCTCTGCCTTCTGAGTGCTGGGATTAAAGGCATGCGCCACCACCATCCGGCTGAGGTTCAAACTTTTTATTTACTATTGGTTTTTTTTTTGGTTTTGATTTTGGTTTTTTCAAGACAAGGTTTCTCTGTGTGGATTTCTGGCTGTCCTGGAACTCGCTCAATGGGCCAGGCTGGCCTCGAACTCACAGAGATCCGCCTGCCTCTGCCTTCTGAGTGCTGGGACTAAAGGCATGTACCACCAACACCCAGTTTAAAAACAAAAAACTTTTTGACAGAAATAGAAATTCACACCGGGAGTCCCAGTCATAAAAGCATGAAGAAGCCAGGCGGGATGGGGGCATTCCTGTGATCCCAGCACCCAGTGCTCTAGGCCAGCTTGGGCGACATAGTCCTCATCTCAAAACAGGGTTAGAGGTATAGCTCAAGGTAGCATGCTCGAGTAGCATGCATGTAGTCCCGGTTTCAATGCTTGGCACCCCCGTGAACTGGACTGGGCATACACGCTGGTGTACACATGTAATCCCAGCACTCTGGAGGTGGAGTCAAAAGGATGAGGAGTTAAAGCCATCCTTGACTAAATAGCCAGTTCAGAAAAAAAAAATTGGAAAAGACTCTTAGAGAAGGTCATGCAGAATGCCAGCCCAGCATACGGCCCCTCCCTGCCCAGGGTTGGCAACACTGCCTCCTCAGCTAGACTGCAAGAGAAATGTCTATCAGGATCTCTGGTCTGAACCTCCTGTTGAGCCAATGGAATTGCATACCATGTTCCTACCTAATCCTCAATTTTGGGACTAGCGGGAACCCCTCCCTCACACAGCTACCAGGTACCATAGAGCGGCTCCCCTTTGCTCAGACCGTTTCTCAGGTCTCCTTGAGACCTGGCCTCAGGCCTGACCACCACGTACCTTCCTGTGCTGCCCAGTTAACCACCAGCTCTGACGCCAGCTCCTGCCCGGCTCTGTCTGGCCTCCTCCAAGCCCTGGGGCTCTCTAAAATCTCTCAGGATTCTTGTAACCCCCTTTATTTCTCTTAAATCTGGCAGCCTGGCAGACTCTAGTTATTCCTGCTGCTAAATTATTTATCTCTTCCCCTTTAAGGTACTCTAGGGGCCCACCCAGCCCAGGCCCGTCTTTTCCCTACTTAAAATGAAGTCATTTAAAAATCTTTTGTCTTTAATTTTTTATCACCCAAACCAGGCACGTGGTCTTTAAGTTTGCCCAGGGATCAGAACCTGCTGTTCACTTAAGCTCCACCTGGACAGGGACCCTGCACACACTGTCCCTAGATCTGCACTGGCTGTTGGCCACCTTGGACCACTAGTGACAGGAAATCGACCGCTCCGGATGGAGGGCCAGGGTCAGGGAGCAGGCCCAAGTGGCCGGTGTTTTGCGGCTCCTCCCCGTCCATAGGGACCCATCACTCAGTGTGCGGCCCAGCTCAACACATCTGGGATTGAGGCCAGGTGTCTGCATGGAGCCAGCTCCCTTCATCCTCCACCAGGAACCAGAAAAGGCTGAGAACTCCATTCAAAGACCCAAACCCAGGATGTGCCACGTGTACTGGCCACATTCTGCAGGGCCTTGCCAGGTCCTCCTCAAATGACCCACCGGGCTAGCTGGTCCTTCTTTGGGGGGGGGTGTGTCTCAAAAGCTGAACGGGCCCTCATTGGCTGTTTTCAGATCCTGAGGGTGTGTAGGCCCTGGGCCCCACGTAGGGCTTGGGCTTGAGTCTGAAGCATGTGTCCAGACAGACAGGCTGCACCTATGCTGGGAACCCTGCGGGGTTCTCACGGGTTCCGTCTCTCAGACACAGGAGCCCGGGGCAGAGCACAGGGGTTCTAGAGTGACACCTTTTTCCTGCCTTTGTCTGCATCTGTCCATTTTTCTCCCACTCTGGAGTCTCCCAGGTGATACTGGCCTTTCTCTTCAGAAGGATCACATAGGTGCCTCAGCCCCGTCACGCTCTCTCTCTCTCTCTCTCTCTCTCTCTCTCTCTCTCTCTCTCTCTCTCTCTCTCTCTCTCTCTCTCTCTCTGTGTGTGTGTGTGTGTAGACCAGAGGATAACTTTGGATGCCGTCCTCAGGAACACTGTCCTGAGACAAGGTCTCCCTTTGGCCTGGAACTTGCCAATTAGGCTAGCCTGAATGGCCCGTGAGCCCCAGGCATCCTCTTGTCTCCGCTTTACCAGTGCTGGGGTTACGAACACATGCCACCATATCTGACACTTCTACATGGGTCCTGTGGGTTTTTTTTTTTTTTGAGACACGGTTTCTCTGTATTGTTTTGGAGGCTGTCCTGGAACTCGCTCTGTAGACCACGCTGGCCTAGAACTCACAGAGATCCACCTGCCTCTGCCCCCCCCCTCCCCTTGAGTCACTCCTTTCTGAAAAAATCCGTGTGTCCCTTGGCAACCTCCAAGCAGGTCCAGACTTCAGCTGTTCTCAGACCAACTCCTATCTCCTCCATCTTGTGGTAGGCTGGGATATGAGAGCCTCTCACATTCCAAAAGCCATACCTTGGTTCTGAGGAGGCAAGACTGACCAGGGTCATGGGGTGGTTGTTACACGCCTGCCGGGCAATTCTGGGATTACAAGGCATCAGACAGAGCTCTATCTGTGGGGGCCTCGTGGGAAAAGAGCCAGGAAGGGCTGCTTGGCGGAGCTCTCCAGGCGTGGACACCACAGCCAGAGTCTGAGCATACAGTGTTGGAAGACAGAAGAGAACCTTAGAGAAGGCCGCCACGCACAGTGAGCAGGCACCACAGGTTCTGCTGTCCCGAGGCACAGCATCTGCCCCAGAGCTACAGGCCTTGGTTCGGGTGGAATCAACACCCAAAGAGAACTGGGTAGAATACTCAGGAATCATTCCCTTCTTCTCCCCACAGGCCTGATGGGACAGCAGTAGAGCCATCGACGGCTGCATATCTAGGTAGGCATCTTGGTGTGGACCCTTAAGAAGCCCCATCACTGCATTCACAAAGGCAGAGGCAAACAGTGTCTGGGGGGCAGACACTGCTTCCTGCCAACACAGGCCCGCGGAGGGTGGTGGTCCAGGGAAGGCACACACATGCCCAAGCACCCCAGAGGTGGATGGAGATGTGTGAACCATGGGTAGTGGGAGGAGACATCACAAGCCACTTCCGGGCCTTATAAAAGGGGGTGGAGGCCATGAGGCAGCCAGGAAGATTGACAGGTAAGAAGAATGTTCCAGAAAGGGAGGAGCTGAGCTGGGTAGGAACAGAAGCCTTGGGTAACTAAGTTGAGTGAGGGGGTGGGAGTCGTGGGTCCTGCTCACAGTCTCAGGGGAGGAGCTGCCAAGGCAGTGGCTGAACTGACCCCTGACCAGACCACAATGAGGCCACCAGCCGCTGGACCTGAAAGGTATGGGGAACACAAAGTGGCCACGAGCCTCAGACTCTCGGACTCTCCTGTGCCCTCGCACGGGATCCCCGCCTGTTGGTCTACCCGACACCCCCTTTGGAGAAACGTGTGGGCTCCAGGCTTGAGAAAAGGGTCACTGGTCCAGGGGTCGTTCAGAGCTGGGATGGTCCTAGGGACTGGGCAGTGCCAAAGCCAGGCCTGGGAGGCCTTTGGACCGGAGCCCCTTTTGTAAAGTTGTCCTCAGCCCTGGGGAAGCCGTTGAGCCTGGGACTCCTCTCCATGCCAGAGAAGCCAAGGCCTTTACTTTATCAGAACACAGGACAGAAATGACTTCTCTAGACGAAGTTCCATCCCCTAAAAGTGCCCAAGCTCTGGGCAGCTGACCTGGGTGCTTGTCTGCCTGGCTCCAAGACTTACCCGTGTTCCAGCATCTCTGGGATCCTGGTGGGAGACCAATAGGCTGTGTGATATAGTCCTGTCTCACAAAGGGCCATGGGAAGCCTAAGAAATCAGCCACTGACAGCTCTGGCAGGGCCTTGAGGCTTGCAACTCTGCTGGGGGACTCTGCTAAAAAAGTCTCCAAGCCGGGCAGTGGTGGCACACGCCTTTAATCCCAGCACTTGGGAGGCAGAGGCAGAGGCAGGCGGATCTCTGTGAGTTCGAGGCCAGCCTGGTCTACAGAGCGAGTTCCAGGACAACCTCCAAAGCAATACAGAGAAACCCTGTCTCGTAAAACCAAAAACCAAAACAAAACAAAACAAAAAGGCCTCCAGCCCCGGGGTGGCACAAGCCTTTAGTCCCAGCACTCCAGAGTGAGTTCAAGGCCAGCCCGGCCTACAGAGCAAGTTCCAAGATAGCCAGGACTACACAGAAACCCTGTCTCAAAAGAAAAAAAAGCCTCAAACAGGAAGGGAGGAGTTGGATTGCGCGTCCGTACACTGCTGGGCCTATAGGTTTGCCCTGGGGGGAGGGCCCCTCACACCCCCCACCCCGTGGCCCCCCTCCCCAGACAGTGAAAAGAATCTTCTAGTTCCAGGGCCTCTGCCAACAGAACTCCAGGCCTGATTTTTCAGTTGTTTGGTTGCCACACCCGGTAAGGCCAGGTGGACAGCCAAGCCCCTCAGCAAGTGCTAGCCTGGGGGACAGCAGGCTCCAAGCCCACAACTGAACAATGTGGTGTGTCCAGGGCCAGGCCTTCAGTGCACACACCAGCCAGCTCTTGCCATGCCAGTCTTCCGCATCCGATGGGGACAGGCCCCAGGAACAGGGTCAGATCAGGCCTGCGGCCTGGTTCTGCGGCCACGGCTGTGAGCTCACACTGGCTCTCCAGGCCAGCACCCTTGGCCGAGCCTGGTGCAGCTGCATGTCCCTGGGAACGCCTAGAGATGGGCTGCTTGCGAACACTGTGGCGTCGCTATGCAGGGCTTTTCTTCCAGCTGCCAGAGAGCCTGGCCTACTGCCGGCGCTTTACTGGTAGAACGTGTGTCCCCCTCCCCAAGTACCCCAGCCCCAGCTCATGGGCCTCCTAAGAGCCAGTTTCCCCGAAGAAGCTGACCCAAGGCCAAGCGAATTCCTTCAGCTCCCAGGCCCATTCTTATCCCATCCAGGAAAAGGCACAGCCCTCAGCTTAGCCAGAATGGAGGGTGAACACCACTTGCTCAGTGGCTGGAATGTCGCACGGCTGGGCTCTGCTGTGCTCGGTGGTGGGAGCCTGCTCCAGCCTAGTTTCAGCTGCGGCCACATTCCTGGTGTGAGCCTGGGCCAGCCAAGGAGCTTTTTCCACACTCTGGTGCCAGCCCCAGCGGGCTCAGGGGAGGGAGAGAGGGCCGTTTCTATGGCAACTTCCCTTTTTTGTTATTTCTTATTTTCTTTTTTATGGTTTCTCCAACTTTGAAGCTCTCCAGACAGTTTACAGACTGTGGAAAGGAAAAGTGCTTTCCCTCCACCAGCCCCCCAGGCTTTCTCTCTCCCAGCCCCCCAGGCTTTCCCTCTCCCATGCCCCCTAAGGCTTTCCCTCCCCCAGCATCCCCCAGGCTCTTCCTCCCCCAGCCCCCAGGCTTTCTCTCCCCAGTCGCACCCCCCCAGGCTTTCCCTCCCCCGGGGCTCCACCAGGCACCTCAGACCTTCAGAGGCCCCACTATTTCTTAAACATTTAGAGAAAATGAATGTGTTTTCTCCAAAAACAATGTAGGCAGGTATTTACAAAAAGACTCAGCCATGTGGCCTAATTAGCAGCTGGGAGCAGGGGGGCTGTGCGGCTTGACCCTGAGGACTGTCCACACATCTGTTCTCTCCCAACACCACCGCTTACTTCAGTCTCCAGGATGCCTGGTTCTGGAAAGCTGGCTGCTGTGCCCCAAACACACGTCTTCACCCTTGCTGACCAAACACCCAACCTCAGGATGGCAGTCTGGCCCGGGGTCCTAGTGCAGGGGCCTGAGAAAATAGTGGCAGGCAGAGCTGACAGGGGCTGAGATGCCCAAGGGGTGATGAGAAGCCTGGGCTATTGTGTGCACACTGGCCTGAAGATGTCTCTCCCCATCCCTCACAGGGGAGTATGTGGTCATGATCCGTGATGTGACCACTCCTCCATTCCTGGGCCACAGGCTGCCCACTGCCTTCAAACACCTGCGAGTCTTGGCAAAGGGGGACAGCCAGTGGCCCCACGTCCCTGAAGATCACCCGGAAGCCCTAAGCTAGAGGCCACTCCTGGCCCATGGACACAAAGGAGCCAAGAGCACCCTCAAGTGAAGGCCACCCTCCCCTGAATAAGAGATTCATGCTGCCTCCCCCCAGGGAGCACACCCTCTATTCCTAAACAGCCTGGGAGCTGGCCCATGTGAGCTCCACAGCTACCGACTTCAATAAAGCTCTCCATATCAACTCGGAGTGCACACTCATGGGGCCCCTTGGGTCTTGGCCTCAAAGCTGAGTTGGAGTCCTGTGGGATGCCAGAAGGGACTCAGTGCCCCAGCGCCCTTTGAGAACCCACCTATCTGCCCTGCCCACACTATTTCCAGACCCCTGGAAGTCTGCATTAGACTTCGGCGAAAGCAGAGACTGGAGACAACTGTGCCACCCAGCATGGCCAGCCCTCAGGTCAGATTCCCACAGCATTGTAAAGTGAAGAGGGCCTTCTTGCCTAGTCTTTCCTCCCCAGCACTGGAAAGGTAGGGTAGTTGGAGAGAATCTCACAGTTGCCACTGAGGGAGCCCATTGGCCCACACGGAGCATCCCTGGGGAGGGCTTACTCCATTACAGAAACCTCCACCTCCTGGCTTCAGAACTGCAGCGGGCAGCCCTTAGCTGACTGGGCCCACCGGTCCATATGTGAGCCCAGCGGGGCAATGCAGGACATGGCCCTGCCTCATCCTGGTCCACTCCCTCCTGAGTTATCCTACTCCCTTGCTAGCACAACCCACCCTCTCCCCTGGCCAACTGCTCTCTCTTTCCTGGAGAAATTAAGCCACAGGAAGGGGCATCAGGGCTCAGCTCCCTGCCTCGATGACACATGCCAGGTCTGTGCCCAACACACTAGGACTACCCATAGGAACAGTCGCCTCGAGTTGCTCAGTGACTCCCCTACTGGATACTCGGGACAGATCACTGCTCCACAGACCCCCATGCCCTGCCCCTGTGTCTCTAAAACCCTGAGATGTGGGACACTAAGCCAGTGACTCTCCAGGGAGTCATAGGAACAAGACAGGTGCCCACCCTCTCTACTTTCCCAAAAAAAGCCCCAGTCAAGGTCGGTGGCCTAGGTTTGGATGCAGCTATGGGACCTCAGAGCTGAACCCACAGTTCTCAGTCCCCGCTGTCCACCATCCAGAGCCTGAGGCTGAGGTGAGCTTGAGTCTAAAGGTCCCAACCCCTTGGGTCAGCCACAAGCACCTTTCACCAGGTCACAGGAGGACTTTGGACTGTGCTCTGTGATTTTTTTTTTCTTCCCACAGGGCAGACCCTGACAGCCTATCTCCCAAACTGCTTCTGAGCATCACTCCCCAAGTCTGCCCTTCAGACACGGTACAACATTCTGTAGCTCCTTCCTCCTCCAGATGAATCCACACGTCTGTCAAAAGGAAAACAAAGAAAATGATGTTTCAATTGAGGAAGGAAAACTGCCGGGAATGAACAGCAGCAGCTGCCGCCGTAGCCAGGCGTCGTCAGGCGTCCTTTGGTGTTTAATTCCCCCCAAAGCATGCTCAGCTTTTAAAGTCACAAAACCCTCGTCAGGAAACTTGTAGTCACTGCCTTGTGTGGGATACAGCAGACACGGCCTGTGCCACAGTGGCTTTTCTGCAGACCATAGGCCTGTCCCTCCCAGCAAGGGAGGCCGGAGGGGTGGGGGAGGGGTGGGGGGCACAGCTTTCCATCACAGAGCCTCTGCAAACAGGGACAGCTCTGGGCTACCCACCTACACAGTTGTGAGCAAACCTGCCGGCTGATGATCAGGGTATATAATCAGGGTATAGCGACCCAGGCAAGAACCCTGCCTCCCCTGCCAGAGCTTCCTGATGGAAGTTCCTAAATCAGAGGTCACACGGGCTTCTCAAGACACCAAGGATAGGTTGCCTCTTCTGGCCAAGGATATCTGTCTGCACCAGCAAATGCGGGTGTCCTGAGAACTGTGGTCCACTGGATCTGGCTTGGCCCTCTATGAAACCAAGACAGGAGCAGGAGCAGGTGCTTTATATCTGTAGCTCCCCAACTCCACCAGCCAAGTGGTCCAAGCATCTGAAATCCGAAGGCCCGAGAAGAGGTCCAGAGCCAGGCCTATGGCACGTAATCCCAGCACTTGGAAGGTTGACCGCCAGCCCTGGCGATACAGACAGACCCCAGCTGCAAGCAAGAAGAGCGAAAGATAAACTCAGGTTGGAGAAGATAGCTCAGTTGATACTAGGCTTGCCTTGCGAGCAGGAGGACTTGGGTTTGATCTCCAGAAGTAATAAAAAAACAACCCCCCCCACTGGGTGGTTATGGTGCAAGTCTTTATAGGGAAGCAGAGGCAACTGGACCTCTGAGTTTGATCAGCCTGGTCAACAGAATGAGTTCCAGGACACAAGGAAACACTGTCTCAAACAACAACAACAACAACAAAACACCCAAAAATATAGAAATGCTCCTCCCCTAACCAAAAAAAAAAAAAAAAAAAGGCTGGTGTGTAGCGGTGCACATTTGTAATCCCAGCCATCTCTGGGGGAGGTGGAGGTGGGTGGGTTCATGTGGCTCCCTGGCCAGCTAGGATAACCTTCTTGGCATGCCCCAGCCCAGTGAGAGATCATGCCCTCTGAACAAACAAACGGAGTGAATGGCACCTGAGGGACAGCACCTTAGCAATGACCTCCAAGGTTCATACGTGCACACCCACACATACATGCCTACATACAAAAGAGTTCAGTGGGGCAGGTCTTGGGTATAGACATCTGCCTAGCTCAGTGCAAGAACTGCAGAGTACACAGCTTACAACTCTGTAGTACCCTGCCACAGGAGAGACTGACCTCCAGCCCACAGGTCATTCAGGCCCCAGGACTTCACTAAGGCAGCAGCAAGGCCAAGCTGACCTCTGGGGCAGTATTGAAGCCTGGGGATCCCATCCTGAGGGTCCCTCACTATCTTGGCACTGGGAGGGTTCATTTTCAAAGGTGGCTAAGGGTGCAGCTCCCAGGACTCAGGCTCTGCCAGCCAGTAACCCCCACTCCAGGTTTGTCTATCCCCTGTGGGGATACCTTCTTCTATGATAGTCAGATTGGGGTGACAGTCCAGCGTGAGCACATGTCCAGGGAGGGGGTGACTGTACCGTAGCTAACCCTGTCTTAGTCTGGGTACCCACCACTGGGAAACTTGAGCCTGTGGTCAAGATGAGCAAATACAGGTCTGGCCACAAGCTCTGAGAATACGGTGGCCTCTCGTCTATCTAGAGGCCCCGATGCCTAGCACAATGACAACCATAGCCTCAGTCCTGCACGGGCAGGCTCCCTTCTGTGGGTGGGAGGGACCAGGTGTCTAGGTTCCATGGCTTTGTGATCAGCAGCACTGCCTGGCAGGAAGCATGCTGAGTCAGCCCCTCTCTAACTGACATGGGTGAGCCTGACAGAAACCTTTGGACTGCCGGAGACCCTGTGGTAGTATGACAGAGCCTCCGGGGGTTCCTTCCTGGGAACCAGCAGCTCTTAGATTCCCTAGTGCTCCAAACACGCTGTCCTCACTTGGGGACTGGCAGGGGGACAAGTTACAGGTCATGAACCACCCTCCCCACCCCATCGCAGGGAGAAGCTTCAACATCAGACAAAGCCTTTCTCTCAACCCCGAGATATCGTCTCACCTCTGACCCCCTCCAGGAAGGAGACAGTTGGTCTGTCCATCATTCACTTACCAGATAATGAGAGGCTGAGCATCGAGGCAGGGCACTGTCACGTGTGCGCTTGTGTAAGATGCAAAGATAGTCAGGGATGGAGAGCAATAGGGGAAGGAGACATTCCAGAAGGAAAAAGGGAGGCAAGGAGAAAGACTCAGGGGAAGGAGAACTGTCTGTCCCTCGTGGCCCAAGCATCCAGAGGCACAGAGAATTGGCTCTCCAGGGCACCTGGGACACATCTGGGGTCAGCAGAGGACAGCATGACCAGCATGACCTGGTCCGTGCCTCCCTCTCCCTGGGCCCGTTTGGCACAGGTGACCACAGCTCCTCCCAGCCTTTCTCACTAGCCAGGCTGGTCACTCAGGACACTCTGGGGAGGTCTCCCCAAGCCCTGTCTACAGACCGGGCAGGTTGCCTGGTCTTGGTGCCAGGCGGGTGTGAAGCCTGCCAGCTGTGCTCAGCCCGGGCCCCTCCCAGCTAGGGCTTCCTGGAGGTTCCAGGGCCAAGCTTGCCAGACCGGTTCCTACACAGCCTGGCCAGTCCAGCCAGTTCACGGGGAGCCCTTGATCCTGGATAGTGTTATGGTAGCCCCCAGGCCTCTTCCAACAAGACCACTACCGAGAGAGAGAGAGAGAGAGAGAGAGAGAGAGAGAGAGAGAGAGAGAGAGAGAGAGAGAGAGAGAGAGAGAGAGAGAGAGAGAGAGAGAGAGAGAGAGAGAGAGAGAGAGAGAGAGAGAGAGAGAGAGAGAGAGAGAGAGAGAGAGAGAGAGAGAGAGAGAGAGAGAGAGAGAGAGAGGATTTTCAGTGGTGGCTGGCCCGCCTGCTCCTTTGTGCTCAGATTTCCTCCAGGGCAAGAACAGCCTCAAACAGACTCTCAGTTGTAGGGAAGACACCCTAGGGAGGTTGGGGCGAGATTCAGGTGAGGAAGGGACTGCCTATGGACTGAGGAGCTGCTGTCCCTGTGAGCGGGCAGTCCAGTGGGGAACAAGAGTGTGCCCTGTCCAGGCTCCTCTTGACATAAAACGAAGCCCATCTCTGAGGAGCAGACAGGCTGCCCTGTGGCCATGCCAGACACATGAAGACTGTCACCAAGGCTGTCTGTCCATGCACACCAAAGCTTTGGTAGGGTTTGATCAACCGTGGTAGACCTCAATCCTAAGGCCGGCTAGCCGCTGGCCTTGCTGCCTTCCTTATCCATCTCAATAGCAATAGGGACGGTGCCACTCTCCCACCTTTGTCCTTCAGACAGCGAGGACACCGAGGCCTCAGTTTGCAGCCAGACCCCCAGTAGACCAGCCTGAGTCTGAGGGGGATCCTCCCTCCCGGAGTGACTTAGTACAACGGCAAGCCCGGGGGACACAGGAGAATAGACCCACTCCGGGCTCCTAAACCTTGACCTTTGAGTCAGCTACACCAGAGAGGGGCCCAGGCATAGAGCTGCAGTACCCCCCTACTAGAAGGGGATCCTGGACTATGTGTAGGTGGCAGGGCCCAGTGTCTTCATGCTGGGTGGAGGTGGGGTTGGGGG